GTTCAGAGTTTTCAAATTTAATTCTTCAAACAGGGGAATATCTATGTGTCCAAGCGTCATCTGTTGCCTCTGAAAGAGTATTCAGCACCAGTGGTGACATTGTTTCAAGTACAAGAGCTTGTCTAAAAGCTGAACAAGTTGATGATTTGGTTTTTCTTAAGAAGAATAAGGGCATATAATTACTCTGTTTTACAGACATACACTTGTCCATTCTCTTAAAATAAAATAAAAACAATTTTTAAAATGATTTATTGATTTATTTTCATGAATTTATGCTGCAATCAAAAAATACTTTCATCTTTTTGGAACAAGTCTAAAATAACATGCAAAAAATAGGTTATTCTAATTTGTGCGTATTTGCAATATGTATCGCATCTCTGTATCGCAATATGTATCTTATCGAAAAAAAAATTTCGATACCCAGCCCTACAAAACACTACAGTTTTGGTCTGATTTCAGTATTACTTGGCACACAAATAGAATACACTAAGATACATAATTCTGTGTACAAGTTATTGATTTTAATGAACATTGTTGCCGTGGTGACCAAAATAGAAATTTCTGTGATATTCTTTCAAAATGCTACTCCCTTACAGTTTTGGTTTGATTTCAGTATTACTTGGCACACAAGTAGAATACACTAAGATACATAACATAATTCTGTGTATCGGTTTTTGATTTCTTCGAACGATGTTACCGTGGTTACTAAAGATAGAAATTTCTGTGAAATTCTTTCAAATGCTACTCCTCCTCCAGTTTTGGTCTGATTTCAGTATAACTTCACACAAAAGTAGAATACACTAAGATACGTAATTCTATGTATCAGTTTTTGATTTTAATATACAGTGTTGCCGTAGTTACTAAAAATAGAAATCTCTGTGAAATTCTTTCAAAATGCCACTCCTCCTAATGTTTTGGTCTGATTTCAGTGTAACTTGGCACACAAGTAGAATATACTATGATACTTTATTCTGTGTATCGGTTTTTGATTTCAATGAACAGTGTTGCCGTGGTTACTAAAAATAGAAAATTCTGTGAAATTCTTTTAAAATGCTACTCATCCGACAGTTTTGGTCTGATTTTAATATAATTTGGCACATAAGTAGACTTCATTAAGAACATAAAGAGACTTTATGAACAATCAATATTCTATTTATTGCTTTTGTAAAGTTTCAAATCCAAGCTGCTTAAGTACTTTTCTCTTCCTTTGCGATAAGTTCAAACAAGTAGAGCTTCAGTCTAGACAGAGACTTCTGGTTTTAGAACGTACTCAGAACGATATATAAAACTCTTTGACATTTGAATGCTAAACATACCTTTTGAAACATTTTTAAAACGTTTTAAAAGTATTCTAGATAAATGTTCCAAAAGGATTTAATCATAAGCTTCTTGAAAATATTTTAAAAATGTTATAATGAGAAGAGAAAATGTTTTTAAAATATTTTCAAAATGTTTAGTATGAAATGTTTCGAAAAAAAATCTTTTTGCAACACAAATAAAACGTTTTGAAAATGTATTGTGCTACCTGGGAACTTACTGGGCGCCCTTGACACACTTTAGGCATTACGGCTTTCTAGGAGTATTGTGCCTGGAGGACGTGTTCTGGTGAAAAGTTCACATCGTCTGCAAACGTATTATTGTCTGTTTGTAGAATACAGTAGAAGTAAGGTAAGTTACATTTGTCCTCGATGCCTTTTTCAAAGGAGACACACTATGCAAATAAACAAGCACTGAGTTGTCTTCTGGATCGTCCATCGTTTTCTTTTTGTCAATTTTATATTATCGTCTCTTTCGTTGTCTTCTATTTATATTCTCCAACATCTAACTGCACCTTTTTCTTCTACATTGTTTCCGATTGTTTAATAACACTCAACTCCTCTTCTTTGTCAAATTGGTCATCTGCTTCTATGGATATCTCGTCATACTCCTTACTACCCGAACTCACAATCGGTGACCTTTACCTTGTTTGCGATCTGGATTGCCTGGCTTCCTGTAGAATCCGTTCTTATATTCATAATGCTGGAGCCATATCTCAGTCCTTTCTAGAAAGAGTTGCATTACACTCTATACAACTATACTTGAATCCACTGTGTTGCTCCTGCGCAAATCTATTTGCTGCATAGAGGTTCTTGGACTTAAATATTACACACACATTTGACACAAAAGTTGTAACCTAGAAATATAAAACAAAATAAAATGAATGAACAGCATGTTATAACCAAATTGCATAAAATATGAATGTGCTCACTTAATATAAATAGAAATCACTATATTGAGTGGACACTTTATAATTTGCTTTCCACGTTTCTCATTTCTAGCTTCTCTTGTCTCTTTAGATGCACTTTTAGATACACTGTCACTACACTGCACATGTCCAATTGTTTCCAAATCACAAACATCCCTATTAAAGCCGCTTGGTACGATTCTAATCACTAAAAATATATATTCGTTTTTCTTTTTGAAAAATAATTGTCCATAAATTATTTCAACTTTTGTCAAATTATATCCCCAAAGTCTTCTTTCGTTTTAAAGATATCAAAATTCAAAAGTAAAAAAAAATAATTTTTGTAAGGTCACACAAAAAAATAATCCTTTGTTGACATTGCGTGAAATCACCTTCGAAAAATTAAATTTATCGCTTACAAGTATAACTCATGAAGAACAAACCCGAACATTTTAAGCTTACCTGAGCCGAAGGCTCAAGTGAGCTTTTCTGATCACATTTTGTCCGGCGTCCGTCTGTCTGTCCGTCTGTCTGTAAACTTTTCACATTTTTGACTTCTTCTCAAGAACCACTGGGCCAATTGCAACCAAACTCGCCACAAAGTATCCTTGGGTGAAGGGGATTCAAGTTTGTTCAAATGAAGGGCCACGCCCTCATTTAAGGGGAGATAATTTGGAATTAATGAAAATTTAGTGGTATTGTTATGGGTCAGAATAACCCTAAATGCCAGCAAAGATCAATCACACAGTTTAAACTTAACAATAATTTATTTACAGTAATATACAAATCATTAAGTACAAACTTAGCAAAAATCTAAAAATACATACATCAGAGTGTCCGTTGCTGCACACAATGTCCCAGTGAAATTATGTCCCAGTTGTAACTCAATGGTGCTCATACGACAAGAGTATATCTATGCATCGAATTGACAGGATATTTATACAGTAATATAAATCTAGAATATTCTAGAAATTGTAAATACATGATATTACTGGAAAGTTCTGGACATACACAAAGTTCAAGAATGTTCTAGAAAAAAATGACTAAACATATTGACCACTCTGGCATGTTCAAGAAACTTAATGTTACTAATTATATACATAATGAAACAATACAAATACAACACATCTCACAACAGTATATTTTAAAAATGTTCTCAAGAAACAATGTGCCAGGAAAGATGAAACTTATGGGGAAACATCCTCGGGTAGGGTAGATTCAAGTTTGTTCAAATCATGACTAACGGGGGAAGGGCGGGCCAATAATGGCAGACCAAAGTTTTACATAGAGATATATAGGAAAATTCTTTAAAAATCTTCTTCTCAAGAATGACAAAGCCATTATTCATCATATTTATATGGAAGCATGTTCAGGTAGTGTAGATTCAAGATTTTTTAATTCAAGACCCCCGGGGGTAGGGGCGGGGCCAAAATTGCCGATTAAAGTTTTACATAGAAATTTCCTCTCTGAAAATTCAGCAGGATATCCCAGGAAGTCTTGTGACAAAGTTCCAAGATTTATCAGGATTGTCCTGAAAAGTCCTGGTTCTTTAAGGCCAGATAAACAAGGAATAATAGGGATGGTATTGGCAGTGTGACTTTTCAAGAATTTTAGGGACCAGTTGAACATAATATATTCTGCCCTTTGAATTCTTGCAAAGTCCCACTTAATCCTGCATTCTGAAGGGGGATAATGTGGGATTATCATGGAAAGTCCCAGTAAGCAGGACAGTATCAGCAGCTAGGAATTTGCAGGATTTCATGGGATATCCGTTAAAATCCTGCTTTAAGTTGATGTATGACTCCTGGAAAATCCCAGTCTTACTTACCCTGAGATTATAGAGATGTTACATAATATCTGTAAATCAAAAAAATTATAAACATAAATGATATTAAAAATTTAAAATGGAAATAAAATTTATTTCGCACACAAAGTAAAAGTAATAACAATTATGGGATACTTCTAAAATTAGCAATTCCTATGTGGAATACATTAAGAACTCTAATATGTAGTGCAGATTTCTTAATGAAATCTAAACTCAGTATTATTCTCTTTACATACACAATGTATTTACATTCACTATTGTTATTGTCACAATTTTTCACAATATACCAATTTTAAAAGCAAAAAACATGAATTTTAATTTTATTTACTCCTCAACAATTTGTTCAATACAAACAAAGTGGAAAGTTGTCAAAGTGACGGTAAGCGGGTTATTTTTGTGTGGAACTAAACAGTTTTGGAATATTTTCTTGCATAAATGAAAAAAGCTGTGTTCCATTGAGCCTGCATATCAAAATAAAAATCTGAACTTAACAATACTGAATACTTTACCCACGTTGTGCAGTGAACACAGCATCTGCTTGAGAGTTGCGAAGAAAGGTGTTGATCCTTACATTACGCTTTTGAATCCCATTGTGGGATGTAGAGATCAGTCCTGTGGATGACTGTATAAACCTAGGTCCCGTGTTACAGTACTGGTGCCAGCATGAAAAAGATCCCCAAGTGCTTAATGGCCCCGAAGTACTGAGTAATTAGGACAAAATTAGCAGCTTCCACCAGCAAGTGGTGGCAGCATCTCCATAAGAGTGAAAATTTCTTAAGAGGGACGTTCAACAGCATAAAATCAATCAAAAGAGGAAAAATTTATCTTTCTCATCAAAAAACTTTTATCATAGAATATAGTTCCTCACTAAATGTTTTCGGTACGTAATTCAATAATGGGATCTTAATTGGACATGGTTGACATAGCAATAATAAAGGTCATAACAAAAAATGCTAAAAAGCTGAGGAGCAAACCTAGTTAAGAAATTTACTTAATTAATATGCTTGTTGGTACATCATTCCTACAAATAACAATCATTGGTCTAAATATAAACATTGTATGTCACTTTATCTCAGATTTAATTTGTCTTATCTGTTGTTGTTGGTGGGGGAAGGTGGCTCCTTCGAAATAGCTTTAGTCTGTCCCTCATTTTGTTTCTTATATCTTTTAATGCCATTTTTGGAAATTTTTCTTGTATAATGACTGAAATGATAACATAGAGAAATTATGAGTGGCTGCAAAACAAATTCATCATGCATAAATCAAAGTACCATCTCTAATTTGTAGTACATATGTACCTTCAACACACTGTCGCCTGCTTTCCTGGAGGCCATCCTTTGCCTTGACTGTTTTCTTTCCAGTAACGCTAGATATTGTCAGCTCCCCCACCGAAAATAGTGCTTTGAAAAGACACTTGATAGCGTCTGTGGAGGATTTCTGGTTGGAAACCATTTCTTTAAGCTGTTGCTTCAATATAAAAGTTTAAGAGGTATAAACATTTTTACACCCTCATATCTAAAAATCCTCTCTTAAATTTTACTGAATATAAATTTATAACATTTTTCAGTTGTATAAAATACCAAAGAATAAACTATCAATGACCAATGATTGGATGTAACAGTCTTCATTGACGATTTTTCAGTATCATTTATGTGAATGACATTAAACTTAATGTTTTCAGGAAACTATTAAGCATAAACATTTTCAACCTTAGATAAATGTGTTGCTACAACCGAAAATGGCTGTAACAATTGACCACCTTTTTTTTTTGATTGATGACTCAAATTTTAAAATCCTTTCAAAAAAAAAATCTGTTTTCTTTTAAGCACAATTCTGCAAGACTGCCACAAACATTTTTTTTTTAATTAAAATATGTAAACCTACTTTGCTATATCCATTGTATGTTGTTTCTTCTGTGACATCTGGTCTGTCTCCATCACTCTTGCTTTTCTACAAGTAATTTAAGACTAGGTATTATATGCTATATATATGTTTTAAAGCTTTCCCCAACTTAATTTAAAGAATAGCAATGTCAAAGTGCTAATTCGCTTCTTAGAGAGGTACTTATTATGTTCATAAACTTACAAACTGTATAATGAAAGCTTGTCTTTATTTTCCTCTTAAATTAATCCAATTCTTCTCTGACTTGTCTAACTTCATTCACCAGCTGCTTCACAGTGTCAAAGCAGCTGTGACACGACTGTTTTTGTGCTGGCTCCCATTTCGTCAGGATACAGGGTGGAATATGCCCCCTGTACCAAACTGGATGTTGGGGCATCTAAATCTATGTAATCTGCAGACCCTGTCACTCCAACATTCTGAAGCAAGGAAAGAGCTTGCTTTACATAAGGCATGTTACACTCAATTCAGACATATCTAAATTTTATAACGAAGGATACATATACTAACTAGCAGAGCACACCTCATAAAAGTAGTGAATCAATTCACTTCACCTACCCCCGCTGGCAATGTCAACTCTGCCTGAAAAAAAAGAAAAAAAAAGTTCCCTATGATTTCCTGATTGAAAACAACCAAGCTAAAACATCAGTAAATGAACAAAATGATCAGACTGAAGCTCAAGATATCGGCAACAAAGCCCCCTACAAACTAAGGTTCACATACCTCCGAGTTGAGGTTTTGAGACTGGAATCGAGGGGATGAAGTTGGGGGATACACCCTCAGCAAAGTGGACTCTTGCCCTAGTGATGATAAACCTGCCTGACAGAAGGAAGAAAAAAATCTTCTAAATTTTCTGATAGAAAACACAACCAAGAACTCAAACATCAGAAAATGTACAAATGGTATAGCTGAAGCTAAAATTATCGGCAACATAGCCCCCTACAAACTAAGGTTCACATACCTCCGAGTTGAGGTTTTGAGACTGGAATCGAGGGGATGAAGTTGGGGGATACACCCTCGGCAAAGTGGACTCTTGCCCTAGTGATGATAAACCTGCCTGAAAGAAGGAAGAAAAAAATCCTCTAAATTTTCTGATAGAAAACACAACCGAGAACTCAAACATCAGAAAATGTACAAATGGTATAGCTGAAGCTAAAATTATCGGCAACAAAGCACCCTACAAACTAAGGTTCACATACCTCCGAGTTGAGGTTTTGCGATTCCAGGAATCGAGGGGATGAACTTGGGGGATACACTCTCGGCAACAGAATCTGCTCTTGCGTATCGAATCAACTGAGATATATACTCCGTATGCAGGTGATGAAGGTATATTGCTGCATAAGTAAGGGAAGTTGACGATAGAAAAGTTAAAGTCATCACGTTTATCATATAGCTTGGTTGTTAGATTACCATTAGTGTCTTTTTCAAGTAAAATATCCAAGTATGAAGCAGAAGTGTCCGACTCTGAGGTATCTTTTATCTCAAGCTCACCAGGATATATCTTGTCGACGTAGGAATGAAAAATATCATTATTAATTGACAATACGTCGTCGATATATCTAAATGTCGAGTTGAAGGCCACAGCAAGTGTTTTCTTCTTTTCATGCAAAAGATTTTGCATAAATTCTGCTTCATATGAATATAAAAATAAGTCTGCTAATAACGGAGCGCAATTTGTACCCATGGGAATTCCAATAGATTGTTGGAATACCTGGTCTCCAAAAACAACATAGATATTGTCAATCAGAAACTCAAGCATCTTCTTGATGTCAACTTCAGAGTACTTATGTGTGCAATCATAATCTGTTTTAAAAGTTCAAGGTCGACATTGTATTGATTAACTGTAAAAATATCGATTGGTGAAGCTGAGCTCAATATCGCACGGGGCAAAGTTAAACGAGTCATGATCATGAGAAAAACGTGTCATGTTTACATTCCTCGAGTACGGGAAAACCCAACTATGACGTCACACATTCCTGAAATAAGCGAAATAAGACAAACCCACAAAATTTTTCCGTCAACAACCATTTAAAAATATTTTTGCGTTCTGAAATTTACTAAATACGCTACCATGTACATATTATGGCCCGTTTTATGATTTTATACTACCCGTTTTTACCGTGTATGATCTTGCTGAACTAAAGAACCAACATGACGTCAAAGACGCACAGAACGCGCAGAGTAGGGAAACGGCAGAGTGGATTAATCTATTCCGTAATTTGATCATATTTGCAAGAAATTTTGAATGTTTTCAGATATTTTTATACTAGATGGTGAACATAAACAAACAATCAAAAAAATTATACAAGTACTGTGGTTTCAATCTCGTTTTGTACATATTTTATCAGAGATTATCACGTAAATCAACTGAGTCACGTGACCATGCATCCATCTCCGACAACAGCTCCTACAACCTTTTTCTTGTACATCCCTCACCATCCCAATCACCGTATCAGGCTCCTTTCCTTTCGCACTCCCCTCCCAATTACAGAAGCAATCATGTTCATGAGGTTCATCTCCCTTTGCAGCAGCAGTTGTACAAATTCTGCAATCACTACTCCTATATGCGTAGTTGACTATTCTTCCTGTTTCAACACCCACTATAGAACAATGTCCTGCCAAAATAAAATAATTCTGGGTTAACACACACAATTCAAGTGCATCAGTATAAACAAGGGGCCTATGCGCTACATTGCAAATTGGATTGGTATATAAGAGGAAAATATATCAGATTATATATCTAATGGCAAGCAGATTTAAGCCTTAAAATATATTTTGTGCCAATTGATTAAATTTCAACTTGCATATGCATTGAGAAAATGCAATATATTTTCATAATCATAATTGTTGAAAGCAGATATTCCGTTTAGAATTTCGAAAATGGGAAGTGCCCTTAGCGTCTGTGAAGTTAATTTTAACCGCATTTACTTTTCAGTGCCATAATTATGTTATAAGTGTTGAAATGTTATCTTAAGGACTTGTTTAACATCTTATTTGGAATTACAAAAATCTTTATTTCATAGGTGTGATATCAATGTGTGTGTATCTAAGAAGTTCCACTGCTTTGGGATATGATATATAAGTAAATGTTTTCCTGATATATATAAAACAATGCTCAATAATTTCAAATTATTTCAGTTTCTGCATCAAATATTATAGAACAATTGGTGGACGGGCTATGACATTCACCTAAGTGGGGATGATCATTCTGTTCTTCACCAAATTTTCCCCTTGTAATAACCTATTGTGACTTCAAACTATTTCATAAGTCAATTATGGTAATAATTTGGTAAATTCAAAAGCTAAACCGTGTTCCCCATGATTTTTCACACACGTTTTAGGTTCCTGAGCAGAAGATTTTAAAAGTTTTTTTCCATATACACATGTATTTCATGTAAAATTTGGCACAGTGCATCTTGATATCAAGGATTTTCAAGACCTCATCCTATTTTGGTTTGTTTATTGGGATTATGTTCTGTTGGAATGGAATTGATATAAAGTTTTCAATTTTAATTTCAATTTATTTTAAACATGGTTTGACCGTTTGTAACAAGTTTGCTTAAAATTGGCCCAGTGGTTTTTGTGGATAAATTGAATGTGTGAAGTTTAACCAGAAGTCTCTGTCGAGACTGTAGCTCTACTGGTTTGTACTTATCAAAATCCGATACACTATTTTATGTATCTTAGTGTAGTCTACTTGTGTGCTAAGTTATATTGAAATCAGACCAAAACTGTAGAAGGAGGAGCGTTTTAAAGGAATTTCACAGAAAATTCTATTTTTAGTAACCATGGCAACTCTGTTCATCGAAATCAAAATCCAATGCACTATTTTATGTATCATAGTGTAGTCTACTTGTGTGCCAAGTAATATTGAACTCAGACCAAAACTGTAGAAGGAGTAGCGTTTTAAAGGAATTTTACAGACATTTCTTTTTTTAGTAACCATGGCAACACCATCCATCGAAATCAAAATCCGATGCACTATTTTATGTATCTTAGTGTAGTCTACTTGTGTGCCGTGCCAAGTTATATTGAAATCAGACCAAAACTGCAGAAGGAGTAGCGTTTTAAAGGAATTTCACAGAAAATTCTATTTTTAGTAACCATGGTAACACCATTCATCGAAATCAAAAACCAATGCACTATTCTATGTATCTTAGTGTGGTCTACTTGTGTGCCAAGTTATAATGAAATCAGACCAAAACTGTAGAAGGAGGAGCGTTTTAAAGGAATTTCACAGAAAATTCTATTTTTAGTAACCATGGTAACACCGTTCATCGAAATCAAAATCCAATGCACTATTTTATGTATCTTAGTGTAGTCTACTTGTGTGCCAAGTTATATTGAAATCAGACCAAAACTGTAGAAGGAGTAGCGTTTTAAAGGAATTTCACAGAAAATTCTATTTTTAGTAACCATGGCAACACCGTTCATCGAAATCAAAATCCAATGCACTATTTTATGTATCTTAGTGTAGTCTACTTGTGTGCCAAGTTATATTGAACTCAGACCAAAACTGTAGAAGGAGTAGCGTTTTAACGGAATTTCACAGAAAATCCTATTTTTAGTAACCATGGCAACACCGTTCATCCAAATCAAAATCCGATGCTTTATTTTATGTATCTTAGTGTAGTTTATTTGTGTGCCAGGTTATAATGAAATCAGACCAAAACTGTAGAAGGAGTAGCGTTTTAAAGGAATTTCACAGAAAATTCTATTTTTAGTAACCATGGCAACACCGTTCATCGAAATCAAAATCCAATGCACTATTTTATGTATCTTAATGTAGTGTACTTGTGTGCCAAGTTATATTAAAATCAGACCAAAACTGTAGGAGGAGTAGCGTTTTGAAAAATTGTTTACAGACAGACAGACAGACGGACGGACGACGGACACCTTACTATCGCATAAGCTCTTCTGGTCTCTGACCAGTAGAGCTAAAAATGGACAGACAGACAGATGGATGGACAGATAGATGGACAAAATGTGACCAGAAAAAAGTTCAGTCGATTCTGGGTCAACTAAAAAGAGGTTTCTAGTGAGTACGTAGTGTCTAATGGATAAAATTGAAGATTTTAGCATACCTCAACTGTTGTTGACATTGTTGAATTCAAGGCACAGCGGGATAAGTAATGTTCAATAGATAAGAAATTTATCTGAATGGTGCTGTTTTACCTGATTGGCAGATTTACCATGTCATCTCCCCACATCTTGACATCTATGGATTCAGTGCTGTCAGTCAATGTCAGAATACCTCTCTTGGACACTTTTCCCATGAGGATCTCTGTCATCTAAAGATGTGTATAAAAGACAATTGAATATAAATGTTATGTTATAATTTGAGATAAATCATATCACCATCGTCTCAAGCCACGGTCCGGAGTCTGCATATAGCTCTCTCCTACCCATGGCTGTTTGATCACAAAAAAGGTTGTAATCTTGAATATTGACACCTCTCTATTGTGATGTCATATTCAGTCAGTGGCAGGTTTTGTTTCCTTCGTATTTGAAATCAACAACTGACGTCAACAGTATACAAGAAATATTTTCTTTACTGCGATTGGGCATTGAAAGGTCGCGATATAGTTCAGTCATCCGACTATGCTTTACTTGATTTGATCAATTTTTAATGAGTTACGAAGAATTCTGTCTTCTTTCAATCATGGCCAGAATGGGAGAGGATCGTACATTTTGGCCGTGGTTTGCGACGATGTCATCACAGGTAATTGAATAATTCTTTATTACTTAAGATATTTCCTTAAATTATATAATATAAAAAGTAATTTAAACAAGAAATATTTTTCTCTGTGATGATTTAATTTGATATTAATAATTAGACGTGAGGTTTGAATTCTTATTTTGTTTTCAGTTATTACCTGATTTATCTGAAACAAGAGTGATTTAATGCAGTGGGTTTTATTTAATGACACACTGAGTGTGGTTGCTTATTAATTATTATTATACCCCCCGCTTGAAAAGCGGGAGGGTATATAGTAATCGTTAATTCCGTCCGTCTGTACGTCTGTCCGTCCGTCTGTCCGTCTGTCCTTCCGTCCGTCTGTTACGCTTTGGGGTACCAATCTCTTATCCGCAACTCCTCTCATACCACTCAATGAAATTTGATGCAACTTTCACAGAATCTTTATTACATATTGCCATTGTGCACCTCCTATTTTACTTTTTGATCCGACACATATTTTGGGTTTCCCGGCCACAGGAAAACACTTTTTCACCAGTTATAA